ATTAGTATAAACATACTAATGGTCTATCACTCATACTGCGCTGTGATTGGCTACTCTACTAATGGTCTAATTTGTGATAGACCACTCTCGGGAAAATCAATCTCATTAATAAATTATTTTAAGGATATTTCAATTTGTTTTCATTATTTGACCGATTAGTATGTTTATACTAAAGCAATTAGACCTCTCGGCCTCGTGGACTACGAGCTAATAGCCCATTCGGCCTCGAGAACTCAGCCTCATGGGCTATTGTCTCGTAGTCCTTTCGACCTCAAGTCTAATTGTTAATTAGATAAATTAAGCAATTTTTCGATCTTAAAGGTCATAATTTCAGTTCTAGCGCCCTTGTTCTTACCAACAATAAAAAACGTTTGACGATTGACAGTTCCTCATTTGTTGATTAGGAAGAGATCTCTTGGTGTTTTCTTGCCTTGCCCTTCTTCTGAAAATCCTCCACATTGAGGCTGAGTTGTGCAAAGTGTCTCCCAATTACCGCATGAACTCAAAGTTGGAGGGATACGTCATCATGACTTTTGATTGTGTACCAACCAAGGAGGACTGTGCTGATGCCTGTTCGTTTAACAACGACTGCCATAGCATCAACTTCTTCCAGGCTAACAAAACATGCGAGCTGAATAATGCTAATCACATWTCAWGCCCWGWRAGTCTGATCAATGTAACAGGCAGTGACTACATCAATTATGACAAACGACCTCCAACAAAGTGTCAAAGCAAAGGTAAAGACCAATTTACAAAACTAATGAGTATATCAATCTTTTTCTTGCGTGCGGACAAAGAGCACTTTGTTCTATAATTACATATGGTCCGCGCTGGAAGCTTGAGCTAAGGTTTCTTTTCTTCTCAAATAGTATTAGTGGAGCGAATACGGGTTCTCGAGCAATAAATATCAACCATTAATCAAATAATTAGCTCGCATATATCTGATTGAGACGTATAACTTCAATTCTGCCAAATGTTTTTATGTTTCCTAGCAATCAATGAATTAACGTTTTTTTTATGAATCGATTTGAAAGAATTACAACAGCTCAACGGAGCGCTTGAATGAACAAAGCATAAACTGGGAAGACGGAAATCGGTAGCGTTGTTTTAATTTGTTTCGTGAAAAATTTTTTTTCGCGCTATTTTAGCAAAAGGTCAGTTGTTTATTAAATAACTAGAGAAAAAGGTTATCCTACTGATGAAAACAAAATGATAGAAAACTACTGGATTTTTTATTGAACTTTTCCAATACAATATCGATGATTAATAAGAAGAAAACAAAAATCATGTCTTATGAGTTTTGAAGTCTTCACGCTGAAAAATGAAATTAAAAGTGAGGAGTAGAGGCTTGTATGGGGAATTGAACCTACTCAATATAAACAATTTATAGAATTGCTATGGATTCATTCTAGTTAGTCTTTTCAAATTATAAGGAGATGTAAACTTAAAAGAAAGAGCCATCACAATAATTGTTTGTTTTAAACTTTGTAAGCATTTTTTACAGGACGGCTTCGTTTTCAAATCCTTTTTGCTTTAACTTTTTCAGCTTTGGTTTTTCAAATCCATGCATTTTTGATTGGAATTTTTAATTTTCATTTGAAACGTTTACTTGAAAAAACTTCTTGAAGAATAAATTAAAAGGGCTATACCATTGTCTTTTTAACTTGTTTTGCTTTCGAAAATCTGACGTGAACGTATCATCCATGGGTAAATGGTTCATTATAGACAGCAGCCAATCAGATCGCGCGAATTTGCTTTTAAGCAAAAAAAAAAAAAAGGAAATTAAAAGTATATTACAATATCATCCATGTTACATCTTTGAATATTATCATTTGTGATGACTTGAACGACATAACCATTTTAAACAAATGAATATTGCAATTCCCTATTCATCAGCCGCTCTTGGTATGGAGGACGGACGAATCGCTAACGATCAACTCAGCGCATCTTCAGCATACGGGAAATATCCAAAATTCGCGGCATTGAATGCTCGACTGAACAACCCAACTAGATTCTGGTCCGCGAGATACGCCAAGGTCGCTCAGTGGATTCAAATAAAGTTTGRCGTTCCACATACCATAGTTGCCATAGCAACTCAGGGTGCAAATAGGATAGGCCAATGGGTGAAGACCTACACTGTAGGATACAGCAATGATGGAGTCAACTTTGCTGACTACAATAATTCTCAAGTGTTCGTTGGTAACAATAACAGGAATACTGTGGTCAAAAACGAGCTTAAACTCAAGCTGAAGGCAAAGTTYGTTAGAGTTTATCCAAAGACTTGGTATGGATGGATTGCTATGAGACTTGAGTTTTATGGCTGTGCTCTTTAAATAAGGGATCGTTTGATGTAAACTTAAAAGAAGGAGCCATCACGATAGTTGTTTGTTTTAAACTTTGCAAGCATTTTTTACAGGACGGCTTCGTTTTCAAATCCTTTTTGCTTTAACTTTTTCAGTGCTAATTGTTTTACCATTATTGTTTAGGGGGTTTGTTGAGTTCTCACCTAAGCTATCTGAGGCACTATCATATTGTAGTTGCATGTTTTCTTTCTAAGATTMTCTCAGAAGACTGTCCAAAACTGTTATATCCCTGCAGTTTTAATTTTCTTTCTCGGGCTTCCCAAAGRGAGTCTGATTCTAGGTTTAATCTATGTGTCGATGTAATGCGTATCATATATCACGTGACTTTTCGTCTAACCTTTCATAGGTAAACTTTTGGAATCCGGCCACGTTTTTTTTCAACTAGTAGGCGTATACATCAGCTAGATATTTCAGAAACAAATGGATAAATTAAACATGAAATACAACGAGACGATACCAAATCACTTGATAATTTCTTTAAAAAGGTAAAYGGTTATCAGGATTCTCTCTACCACAGTCTCTGTTGGTTCATTGATGTTAGCCATTATTAGTTTGGCAAGCTCAATAACATTCTCTAGAGTAC